TACCCCTTACATCTTCAAAATTGAAATTTCATTAATAATCATTTTAAGCGCAGGGTGCGGATGAGAGAGAGAGAAAATCTGTGCGAGGCTGGAGTAGTGGAGCTTCGGAAATATTTTCCGCACGTGCCGTCGTTTTTTTTCTCCTGTTAAAGTAGCGGTATTTTCATTACATATACGTATGCTTGTGAGCTGCAAGCACTCGAAGATCCACTTTTACCTATTCATGAGCTTGACTGCTCCCTCTTTTTCTCTCTCTTCCTTTTCCTCTGTCCTGGGCACTGTACGCGCGCTCGTACAGCTACACGCTGTGCTGCTGCTGCTGCTGCTGGTCAACGAAAAATAAAAAGGACGCCCAGTACGTTGTACATAATGCAATTTGTCTCAGGGCATTTTTGCCTAAGTAGAGGCTTAACTTTATTCGCCCTCACGAGTTGTCCCGCCTCCACCTCTCTCTCTTTCCCTTTTTGAATAACATATTTACGGCTCGCTACGTAGCTTATCCGTTGCGAGTCAAGAGCGAGGCAAAAATAAGAAAAGGAAGAAGTGGTGGAAAAAGAAAAGAGAAAAATGATAGGGAGGAACTATTCGATAATATCTGGGTAGAATGAAAGAAGGAGCGCGAGCGAGTGAGCAAGAGCACTTGTCGAGTTCCGTCACGTGTCGTATTCGGTGACATATACGCGTCTGTGTGACGACACATAAGAAAGGAAAGAAAATCGAACGGATTTCGTTTATTTTACCTTCTTTTTTTGTCGCTTCTCCCGCGCGCGCCGCACTGCTTTTTCTCTTTTACGGAGCTGTACTAGAGAGAGAGACAGAGAGAGAAAGATAGGATATTGGGACAAGACCAAAGTAGACTTTTTCCTTTCGTCGGCTGTACTTCCTAGTCTCAGCTGCTCTCCCTCCCCCTATTATATATTGTTCGGCGGTCCGGGCTGCTCATGGGCGCGTTTGATTTTCCAGATGAATTTTTCATTTGATTTATAAAGAAAAGCTCCGCGAAAGCTAGAGTCGAACTTATATACCGGGTCGTCTGCCACAAGCTCCGCGCTTATTATCTTTCCATTTGTCCGAGCTTCCGGCGCTGATGCATAATAATATGCATAACAATTGGCCGCAGATCGTGTTCTTTGATATACTACAAAGTTCCATTCGTTTTCCGACGCGGCGGAATTACAATATCTTCTCCGAAAGAGGTTGCCATCATTATAATTTCGATAGATGTCCTTGATTCGCTATTCACAGGCTGGAAATCATTTTTGGTCCGAGTCTCGCGCCGGGCGTCACGCACACATCGATATGATATAAATCAAAATCAGAATCCTCTCGTCGTGTTCCGCGCACATCACGTATATCTAATTAATTAATATCTCGGCTTCGGGAGCAGTAGCAGCGGTGGCGGCGGCGACGTCGGCGGCGAGAGTTACTCCATCGGAATGTCAATACGAACTATACGATTAACCACTGCGCGAAGCTGCATATAATATACGTAACACCGGGCTGGGTTTAATTCTCACAGAATTAAACTCGCAAACCAGTGCTTATAATAATCGATACATATAATAATAATATTATACTATTATGCGTCCATCGCTTAGCGAGCTGATAATTAATATTCTGAGATCGTGCTCGATTCTTTTTTTTCTTTTCCCTCTCTCTCGTCAGTAAGGCCGGCAAAAACCTCGACGAATATATGGAAATTTAATAACGATACTTTCTTGTTTGCTCTTGTTTCGAGGCCTACGCGTATCTGAAAATAATTTATCACAATTTGCGCTCAACCCCACACAATCGGCCTTTATTTCGACGCAGTGCTTAATTTGTACGATTGGCTATACTAAGAATCTTACATCCATTGCGATGTGCGTCGGACGTGTACTACAGCACTTGAAGGGTAGTAGCGAGCGATTGCCGTTGACACAAGGGGGCTCATCGATCCTTGCCTACGTCAGAATCAGAGAGAGAGGTGTATCGGTGCGAGCTGCAAAGAGAAGCAAAACGATCAATTATACGCAGGGAATCGGGACAAACTCGTAAATCCAGCATCCGGAGCGCTATATACGTGAAATACCGCATCGCAGCAGTTACAAGCCGAGTTCCAAGCGTAAGACGACGCGCGACGATATTAAAACAACGTCGAAGGGGTTAACAGTCGTATTTGTACAAAGTCTGGTGCTTCACACATAGGATGTATAATATAGAGATAGGAGCCGACTTGCTGATCGTGCACACAGCAAACATCATACATAGCTCTAGGAGAGAGTCGTGAGAGAGAACGAGCTTTTCGACGATCTGTCCGCACGTGTACGTATCGCACTGTAACAACGTCGCTCGCGCGCGCTCGGGAGCGCATGGCGCATTGCGCTGACCAAAGCGCGTCGAGCCGTACTGTATACGCGTGTGACGAGCTTGCACACACACACACGAGCTGTATACTGCCAAGCGAGTTTGTACCCGAGCGAGCGTCACAGCTGCCAGCTGCTGCTACTCTACTCATGCTGTACTTCTCTGCAATAACATGTATATATAATTTACACGAGCAAATGATCGTCAACGTACACAAGGTGTCTGTGCATGCAAGTCCTGCGATGCGAGAGGTAATCTAAACCGCATCAAGGTGTGACGCGGCGGGCAAGAATTTCTTCGATTTTTCCATTTAACCGTTGGTGCGAGGGGAAATTCGAGCTATTTGAACGCACACGTGCTCGTCCTCTAAAAGAGGACGATTTAACGCTATGATATTTTAAGCGCGTCATTAGCCGACTCGCCGGACTCGCGCTGCGAATGAATATCGTAGATATCGCATCCGGCGATCCCTAAAATGGTACAATGGACAACTGCTGATGTCTATTATACGCGCTTTGCGTGTGTGAATATGCGTGTATGCAGTCATACACACATACAGAGAGAGCAAAGGTCCAAAGCTGTGGTTCATTACACGAGACAAGAGCTGTGTATAGCGGGCGCACAGCTCGTCGCCCCGACGGTGGTCGCCCATGTATTGCCCAGCAGCAGCAGCGGCCTAGGTATATAACGGTCTAATTTGCTCTTCTCGCGCGAGCACCGAACATGGCCCCATTGGCTCTATATAGGATATATACCGCTGCCTATGCAGTTGCAGCAGCACAAGCACAAGCAGCAGCAGCAACGCGTGGAGAGGATGGACTTTGACACTGACAGCGCGTGGCTAGCATATGTCTCTCACCACTTTGTCATTTGCCTCGTGGGTCTCTCTCTCTCTATCCCTCTCTACCTCGCTCTTTATACCTGCTTCTGAATATATATGCGTATCGCATACGACGAATATATATACCTATAACTATCGCTATAAGTGTTATACGCGCGCCTGGCGATTGATGGACACGGGCCGGTTGTGCGATATACCCATGGAGCATGAATGCATGTGCGCGCAGTGCAACTATACACGAACGCAGACAGCGGATAGTATAGTAAGGGATGCGGAGCTTTCAGTCATATCGGCCCCATTCGAGCTTGCGACGAGAACGAGGTTGCTGCGGGCACTTATTGTGTTTTGATCGATCAACGATTTTCGACGCGCCTCTCAAAATTTTCCTCTCGTGTACTTGTGAAGCACTAGTATATACGACGGGAAATCCGTTGCGGTCATTGTATCAAACGTAATTATGTAAGAGCTTAATTCAATGATGTATTAAATAAGTAGGCACCGGCTGCGCACGTTTTCGAGACGATTTTTCGTTTTTATGCTACTTGCAGAGAACAACATGGTGGGGTCGTCGTTCGGCTAAGTAGGCGGGCGGCGGCACGAGATTACCGACGCCAAATAGACTGCTGCTACTGCCGCGGCACACGCACTGTATACGTGCTGCAGGGGGATGCTCACAATCGCGCGGAAGACCCAATGTTTACCAGCAAGCTCCGCGAAGCGCGCAATAGACAATAAGCATCGGCATTGTCTTTTACTTGGAGCGCACAGACAGGCAGGCAGCAAGCGGGAACTCCGCGAGGGAATTGCCCCGGCTAAGACGCTTTATGTTCATCGTCAGCGTCAGGCTCGAGTGAGAACAGAGAGAGAGAGAGAGAAAGACGGAGACCACTGTAACGCGGTGGCAGATTTCGAGTGGCTGCTTTACCTATTGAGTGAAAGGGTGAGATAGAGAGAGAGAGAGGTTTCTGGGCGATCGTCTACGCCTGTATAATAATTAATTTCTCAGTTTCTCTCTCTCGTAAAGGAACTATGTCGCCGGCAATTATATGCTCAAGAGAGAGAGAGAGGGAGAGGGTTGCTAATAACTCGAGTTCTACACAGGGGCCTTCTCCAAGAATACATTATAGCTATTATTATTTAAGAGATGTTAATTGAAAATGATAAAGTATGCCTGCACCTGCAGGTCCTGCACACTACATGCATAAATAGAAATTTTACCCAATTATAAGCATCGTACTGCTAATGTTTGTAACCCAACAAACATAAATCGATACAGATTCGTATATTTGAGAATGAATGTGTGCAAATGTGGGAATCGATACATTGTTGAACATCATTTTTAAATAAACTCAAAGGCTTGTCACAAATGACATGTGTCATTTTCTTAGAATGTACAAATTAAATTATTATGTTTCAATTTGATAAAATTATCATGTGAAAAGAAAAACACGTTACAATATTATAAAAACCATGAAAATGTCTCACACTTTGCATATATAAATAATTTTTAAAAATAAAGAGAGAATATGTATTGAGACACAGTTGAGACAGCAAAATTGAGTGTCCACTACATTCTTGGTTGAGTTCAAATGTAATCGCTTAAAAAATTTTAATTTGCTACCTTGCGACAAATATTTTTAAAACAAATAAAAGTGATTTTTAAGTAATTTTTAGCAATTTAGATGTTAAAAAATTTATTCAAATGGTAAAAGTCAATTTTGATTGAAAACTTTATTGATATTTTATGTTATTAACTTCAAGCATACTTAAAGAATGTGATGAATGTTGGGATTGTAATTGATAACGACTAAGATTTAAATTTTTTTTAAGATTTACTGATTTTCTGTTATATACATCTTTGACATTCTGCCTCCTTACTATCAAAAATAAAAACTTGAATGAGAAACTTGTGTATGCCACAAAATCAGTCCTCCACGTATATAAAACTTAATCCAGCTGAAACAATTAATACAAAATTAATGTAGACTTTGCTCATAACTCATAAACATTAAAATTTCATTAAAATATAGTTATATTGGGTATTCAACCAATATACATAAGAAAAATTTTAAAAAAGTTTATAAATAAAAATTGGGTGTAATTGTTATGAATCTTTACCTTCTTGAAGCCGATGTCAGCAGCGTATTCTCTGAAGCACTGACGACACAGGTTTAATCCGTATTTACGGATTATACCATGTCTATTGGCGCAAGCACCGCTGGAAAAATTAATATATATTTTAGAAAAACTAAAACAAATTACTGAACATATACGTCGGAAACACATAAGCGTGAAACACGTGGTACATGAGGTTAAGAGATTTTTAAATATATTTAACCGATGCGTCTGAGTTCATATAGCTCATAGGAAATATTTTTAATTAATTGATATTAAAAAATATAAATCAATTATTAGTAAACAATATAACTAAAAACCACAAGAAATACGTAAGCTACAAACGCTACGTTTCGGGGTTAGAATACTGTGTCAACAAAAGTTTTATAATGTTACATTGACTCGGCGCACGAAATATCAATAAACAAATTGTAAAACTTACCAGGATCTGGATCCTTGACCGTATTTGCGAGGATGAGAGTAATGGATATTTTCATGACCCATGATTATCGAGATTTTTAATTCGGCGAGCGAACGGTTATATCGATTTGCGAAAAAGAAAGAAAATTTTTGTGTTGCTTCGGCAGGTTTAATGCTCTGTAGTCCGATGTGCGCGCGTCGGTGCACGATCAAAGCTCTTCAAAGCAGCACCTATAGTAGGCGGGAAAATCAAATTCGTCTAAAGACGTAAATTAAAATATATATTGTAAATTTTTTTTCATTTATTAAAATAAAAATAATTCAAATATTTTCATAATTAAACCATAGACCATACCGTAATGCCAGGAAAATTATCGAGCGTGTAAATTGAAAAGAAGAAGTTTTCGCCTTGTGTTAGAATTTCAATGCAATACAAAATAATACATTTCACAAGAATTGTTTATTGTTTCATCTACATATGTACAGAAAAAATTTCAAACAGTAAGTATAAGAATGAAGGATTGAATAAAAGTGTATTATTTATTACCTGTTATTGTATACCCTTACCTCTTAGCTATTGCTTCAACAAGATTCATATTTATAGTATCATGAATAAAAATTGGTTTTTACATAAAAGTTAATAATTACTATGTATAAATGATATTGTAGATTAAAGTGACAAGAAATTATACAGTAAAAATGAATATTTCATTAAACAATTGTATATAAGAATAAAATATATAAAATTTACATCTCGTGATTGGGATAAAAATATACTTGAAAAACTAAAGTTAGACTTTAAATAAGTTTTCTATATTTACTATTTGTTCGCAGGGCTCTGAAATGATTAAATATAATTCGTATTCAATCGACAAGTCTAAGTAATTAGATTTTGACATAACATGAAAATTGTCCATAGTTAATATTATCATCATTGGGTCTTCTCACTGGTATCATTCGATTTTTTAACTTTACAGTAATAAAAGCGCTTTTCAATATTCACGTTAGAATCTTTGTACCAATTAATACTTTTCACTCTTACTTGCTTGTATACTTATAATTACACATTTACAACCACTAATAATAACTCACTAAGATTTTCTAAACTCTAATGAAATTTTGTTTTATAATTCTACTAATGCCAAATCATCTCATTTACATTACACAAAATATATTATAAATGTTTATGTTGCAAAGCTTATTAATTTATTTATTAGACTGAGAATAAGTTTTATCTTTTAACAGTATTTTTTCTAATACTCAATCGTCGTGCACGGGGAAGATAAATAAAATCATAAGTATATAAATACAAAACTTCTATTATTTGATATAGGTATTATTTGTATGACCAATACATAAGACAATATACTTTTTAATTAACTATTATGTTACATTATTGAAGTTCATTTTGCAACTCAACATGAGATGATTTCAGCAGGTATTTCCATGCAAACTATATCTTAATTTATTCAACAAAGCATAGAAACATATTTTTTAAATATGCACTGCAATTTCAGCTTATATACAAAAAAACATGAGAGCATATTTTTAATATCCACTACAATTTGGACTTATATATCACATTTACATTTATTACAAGCAGTCCTCAAATAAGAAATTTCACTTAACTAGAAAAATTCATGCAACCATTCACTCTTTTAATGTAAAATGATACCATTTGGAAACATTTATTCAAAGAATGAATCACTCAAGAAGAGTTGCAGTAATTCCTAGGTCAATTTGATTACAAAACCGTCCAATTGTTTGTTACTGGACACGCTTTGATCCGTCTTTACTTTCTTAGTCTTAGAAAGATCGGAAGAAGCAGATCGTTTAAGAGTAAACGTTTTTGCAGTTGGAAAAGTATCAGTTTTGGAGTGCCCTCCAAAACCATCGAACACAGTGGTTGAATCTTTTGATAGAGTACCCTGTGGTAAATAATTAAATAAGTTATTTGTACGATAAAAATAAAATAAAAAAATTGTATAATTAATTACTTTTTGTGCAGCTTCAAATTTTTTTGAAGACATAAACATTCTGTTCGATACACTAGTGCGCGATCCTCTTTGAGTATCTCTATCTTTCAGACCCAATACACTTTTTGATTTAGTAGGAAGGTATGGTGAGTTTTCTTTCATCCCCTTGAGGTTTGACTACAATTGAATTTTATAATTATTATATTATAATACAATGGAAAGTAAATGCAAATAAATAATTGATTATATTTACAGATACTATAATGAGATCTGAGTCATCCTTATTATTGAAAAATTTCAATTTTTTGGAAGCTCTAGTTGGAGACTCATCCAAAAATGAATTATCTCGCTTAGAAGAACTTTTGGTCGAACAAGATGGCAGAGCACGATAGTCCGGACTTTCAATGCTATCTAAGGAAACATTGTGCAATATGACTTGCTCATTATCTTTAGTTTCTTGGTTTTTTCTATCAAGTTTCCTTGTTAATTCAAGATTTTCACTTCTATTTATAGCAAGTTCTTCTTCCAATCTTTCACTATGAACCACATGAAGAAAATTTAATTCATATCAAATGTAAATAATTCAATTTGAATAAAAATAAATTTCACAAACATTTTTTTTTGAAAGTCTTCTACCAAAGAAATTTTTTCAGTTTTTACAGTTTGTAATTCATGTTGCAGCGCATGTATTTTATTCCTCATTTCTTTTCTTTTTGCCAAACAGATAGTCATTTCTCTGCAAAGTAAGCAACATTTTCAATAATACCAATAAACCTTTTGAGTAATTTAATAATTTAAGAATTACCCCTTTAGAATGGCGATATATGTACACAATTGTCTGTGATCTACATTTCGCTGGAGTAATTCCTCCACTTCATTAGATGTTGAGCATATTAATTGCTTAATACTTAAAAAAAAAATTTATTTTATATTACTTATTGAATTGCTTTTTATAAAAAAAATTTTTCAACAGATAACTCACTTCTCATAAGTATCAATTTTTTTTTGTAAACGTTCTTTTTCTCTGCACACACTATCATAATCTTGGCACTGAGATCGAAAATGTGCAGTTTGATCTTTTAAAGCGTGTATAGCAGATATTTGTTTTTTCACTTCAGATTCTCTTTTCTTCACCTCTTCGCGTAAACTACTATTTTGTTTCTTCAAAGTATGAAGCTCTGACTTGAAATTTTTATTTTCAGTTTCTTTGAGTTTAACTTGAAAAGATAAACTATCTAACTTTTGCTGAAGAGTAAAACTATCTTCTTTCACAGCTTCAGTATTTGCAAAATTGAAGTATATCCTTGTGACACCGTCACGCTTTACCTTGGCTCTGCATTGTGGACAAGTCTGAGACCTGCAGTAATAATATTAAATTTATCAAATTTCTGCATAACTGATTTCAGCAGAAGAATAATGATAATAAATTTTAATCAATTCATGTTTCAATCATTCACACAAATTTTATAAACACATAAAAGTATCGATGAATCATGTTAATGAATACACAAATAGAATTTATGCAAATTCAAGGGGACGAAAATATCTATAGCAAAGGTTAACAATTTTTATTCTCACTCACTTTTCCAACCACTGAACGAGACATGGAAAATGAAAGACATGGCCACAAGGTGTAATGAAAATATCGTTGGATGGTTCCAATACGTCTTGGCATATCGCGCACTGGATGTTCATTTTTCCCAGTAGAACAAAGACGCTTCAAGTGCGTAGTAAGTGAAGGTATAAGTGCATACAACATGGGAGACACATCGAACTTGATCTTTTTCTCAAGGGACTTGCTTCTGTTGGAGCTCGACAGCGGATTGTCCCATGCTTTCCTCAAAAAATAAACACTGCGCGAACAGGTTTTTTAAATGCCAGTCTCGATTTCGACGTGAGATAAGACGAATAATACTACGGAAATTCGATAAGAAGCGTCGTCCCAAACAAAACGGTCGTATATAGATATGCAGTGTGAGCGTATCAGCTGAGAGACCAAAACATTACGTCATTGGCACTGAGAGTCGTACCGAGACGCGCGGACTCGAGGTTGTATTTTCTTTTTTTTTTTTTTAAATCTTTTATTGGCTTTGGTATGATTACAAAACTGCCTATATCTATAACATAAATTAAAACCTCATGGTTTTACATGTAATACATATTCCTGGGAGGTTGTAATTAAATTCGCTCTTACATTAATCAGTATAGTAACTTAGAATTATTTTCTATGTGTACAGAGTTATAGTAATTTAAAACTTAGTTTAGATATTAAAATCACAGTTTAGTACAAAGTCAGATATGATACTAATAATTTCGTTGTTTATATTCGACAACAAGGGTATGACAGAGTATGGACCGAGTAACTGCAGTTTTCTCAACCTCCTTAACATTTTATTCCTTTGTGTTTCATATAAATGGCATTGCCAAAAAATATGTTCCACCGTCTCATCGTACTGTTCGCATTTGCATTTGCTGCTACTCACAATTTTAAATCTTGATAAATGCGCATTCGTTCCATTGTGTCCACATCTGATTCTATTGATAGTAGTAATAACTTTTCTATGCGCTCTGATATTTTCAAACCATGGCTTGCTTCCCTTGTCCCAGTATGTTTTGAAGTATAGGGTTCCTTTGGTTTCTCCCATTTCTTTGGTGTGCGTTACATCTTTTTCCTTACATAGGTACTTAAATTTAGCAAATATATCTGATACTGGTATGTCTACATTAGAGCTTATGTCTTTGGCTGCGGCTTTTTTGGCGTTTGTATCTGCGTTTTCGTTTCCTTGTAGTCCGATGTGCGCCGGGATCCAAAAGATCTCGACTTTAACATCTTTATCAGCCAGCTCAATGAGCTTTAACTTAATTTTTTCCACCAATGGTGGCTCGTTTTTGAGACCATGGATTTTGTTTAGGGCTTCGAGGTTGCTTCGTGAATCTGAAAAGATCCTGAAGACGTTCGCATTTGACTCAGTTGCTGTTTCGTTCCAGCGGCTTATTTTTTCTAGGGCGAGTATAATGGCTAAGCTTTCTGCAGTGAAAATAGACGCTAGGTTTGGTATTTTCATATCGGTTCGGAAGAATTCTTTGTTGCTCCAGACTGCACACCCAACTGCTGCATTGTCAATGTTGCCTCTTACTAGTTTTGAGCCATCGGTATAAATATCTGTTGTAGTGGCGTTTGTCGGAAATAGCTTAGAGAATTCGTTTTCTGGGTTCTTTGAGTTGAGCAGTTTTTTGCCCGTACTTACGTCGCAATTAGCTTGAAAAAAGAGTGCACTGAACGGTACTTCAAACCTGTGGTAGTTTTCGTATTGGAGAATTTGACCATTATAAAACTCACATTCTTCAAAAGTCCTGATCGTTCTTGATTTGTTGAAATTGTGTTCGTATATTGTTGTATTTGCAGTATTGGCAAGATTTTCAATGTTTCGTATGACTGGGTGGTTATGGATACTGAGACATCGCAGCAGATATCGACTGCATAAGTAGTCAAGCCTGGAATCTAGCATTGGCATTTTGGCTTCTGCGTGCATTACGTTTATAGGTGTGCTGTTTGTGTATCCTAGACACA